ATCCAAAACAGCTCAATGTGAAGTCTTTCCAAGACAGGTGCTCAGGGCAATTACCAGCTTCTTGAGTTTAGCTCCACCAAGCTAACCAAACCAGGAAGTAACAGAGAGGTTGTCTGAGCAAGCCAGAGTGATTTAGGTGCCTTGAGTGTCCCTTAAAAGGTTTAGATACAAATAATAGGTTACTTAAATGGATCGTATAGTGCCAGGAAAACAAACAAGTCCAAGTGTGTATTATGAGAGAAAACTGCACTCTTTTATTTAGCATCACCTAACTCTTCATAACCCAGGATCCATTTTAGATGTCTTACGAACAGGAAGATCATGGCTGTGAAGAAAGGGTCTTTAGGTTTTAGCAAATTCAGATATTGAATAATATGTTTTGCCTTTGGAGGTCTTTCCCCCAGCATGATTCAGTAAGACAATGACTCATTTGGCTGACTCCAAACCATTCGGACCCATTTATCTAGTCTGTTAGTAATGTAATAAACACAGGGAGCTCGCACTTTATCTTGGCCACCAAGGCATCCTACCTAAAGCTCATTTGTGCTTTTCTGACAAGTGAGGTAATTCTATGTTTTTGTTTTGTATATTAAACATAATAAAACTGTTTGTAAAGTTTGCACAGTTACAAGATATATTGACAGTCAAAGGAGGGGGATGAGGGGTGTGGGCATCGAGGGAGAGCATATTAAGAATGAATACAAGCCTAGAACTGAAATGAGAGCCTGATCCGTGGCTACTCCCAGATCTAGTAGGAACGTACTGACATGTACCAAACTGATGGATCAATCCATTATGTATGAAAAATACATATTTAGGCAATGAGATATGGCTCTCTCCTGGTGCTCCTCTTACCTCACCCAACACTCTTTTAGCATTTCTTTCTCTGGCTCTGCCTCTTCCTCACAACCTGTCTCTGTTTGTGTCCCTCAAGTTTCAGTCCTCGGTCCCTTTTTGTTCTCGATCTATACTGCCTCCCTAAAATCATCAGGTCCTTTGGCTTCCAATATCACTTCTATGTAGATGACACGCAAATCTATCTGTCCTCCCCTGATCTCTCCCCGCCCCTCTTGACTAGTGTCTCTGACTGCCTCTCTGCTATTTCTAACTGTATGGCTGCCTACTTCCTTAAGCTCAATTTGTCCAAAACAGAACTTCTGTTCTTTCCTCCCTCAAGTGTTGCTACTTCCGTTTCTGTCTTCCTCCATGTTAATGGTGCTACCATCAGCTCCTCCACGCAGGCTTGTTGCCTTGGTGTTCTCTTTGACTCCGACCTCTCCTTCACCCCTCATGTCCAGACTATAGCCAAATCCTTTTGCCTCCATCTCAAAAACATTGCGTGCATCTGCCCCTACTTAAGGTTCAGGTCCATGCCACTGTCCTCTCTGGCCTTGACTACTGCAATCCACTTCTCACTGGTCTTACGTGCTCCCAACTTGCCCCACTGCAGTCTATAATGAATGCGGCGGAGAGGCTTATCTTCCTGTCCACTCGCACCTCCCCTCTGTCAGTCCCTGCATTGGCTTCCTGTAAGTTATGGAACTTTTCTTTTTTTTTTTTTTTCAGTCATAGGCTGCTCACTGTTTACTAGACATGCCCCTACTCACGGTATATCGAGTAGGGGGAAAATTTACTAATACTAAGTAATTTAAGTAATTTTTTTTTTATTTTACTAACATAATTTTTACTTAGTATTAGTAAATTTTGCTGAAAGACCAATTTAGGTCTATCAGCCTTTTAGTAGATAAATTCCTAATACAGTGGGAGTTATCTACTAAGCGGCTGCAAGAGAAGTCCCGAAATTAGGAAATGCCGAAGTTCCAAAATTCCGGAGTCCAGCAGTTGCCAAATTTCCAAAGTTGTTGAAGTGCCGAATTGCCGAAGTCCCTAATTGCGAAGGTTCCGAATTTCGGAATGCCGAACCAAACCAAAAATCTTCCCCATGCACATGCCTAGCTGGTAGATTCAAAGGAAGCAAAGCTATCTGCTCATCTGTGATAAAAAAAACATTAAGTGAAAACTGATAGAAAGAAGGGAGAAGGAGGCAAAGGAAAAAAGAAACAGGGAAGGGGAAGGAAAAGGAGAAGGAGAGGCAAGCTGACTGATAAAGCCAGACAAAACACAAGAAAATCTAAGCCGTTGCTTAACGAACTTTAAGATTGGCGAGAGAAGAAAAAGGGAAGAAAAGATATAAAAGAGCAAAACGATTAAACACTGAGAAGTGGTTAAATAACTAACAAACTAGGCTAATTAACCTCATATAATTATTTAGAGGAGTCCTGAGTAGGATTTAAAGGAACAAAGAGAAAAAGAAAAAGAGATAGGAACAATAAATTCCTGATTACAACCTTAAAGAGTGAATACAGAGAAAAGGGGAAGAGAAAAGGAGACAGAAGGAAAAGAAACCGAAGATATAGCTAACGGATTGCATTAATCATTGTTTAGTAGATCACCTTTTTTAGGTTTGGTTTAAAAAAACTCAGGAAAGATATACATGAAAATTACCCCTATTAAACAAAGGAAAGGGAAAGAAAAAAGAACTAAAGTAAATTTAGCAAACTTCACCCCCCCCCCCTTTTTTTTTTCTTAATTACTGTAACGGACCGTTTTGCACAAAAGGGGTAAAAACCGTTTAGGCGATCGGCCCCCTTTCCAGAGATGCAGGCACAGCTACTGCAGAACACCAAACACACGAACCGCCAATAAGTGAATGCTCCAAACACCCGAACTGCATACAAGGGAATGCTCCAAACACCCAAACTGGAACCTCACGAATAGCTGCTAGCAGACGAACAGGAAAAGCACCCAAGCGGCTTACACTCCTGGCAATCAGTCTCTATCAGCATACAGTAAATCCCCCCCAAAGACGAGACAGAGCTCCATGTTGTGGGTCAAGCAGTGGTCTGTTTAATGGGGGCTACCTGCCTAGTATTTATGCAGGTCTCCCACCTGGTGGACACTCCGCTAGGGGACCAAATGGGAGACTGTGACAAGTGACAGACAAGTAGACAAATAGGACACACAGTCACAGTATATTCCCACAATGCATCCTGGCTTCCTCCCCTCTGCCCTGGGAGATAATTGAGAAGTAATTCAATTATCTCCCAAGACAAAGGCAAAACTCCATTACACACGTGGGGACACAAAACCAGTATTATACTTTAAAATACATAAAGTAACATTTATTACATAAAACACAGACATGTAACATATCCCCAGATAGCTCAGGTCTGAGTGCACATTATTAGGTGAATGGCACTCAGACCACACAAATACAGTTTAATTGCCATGGAGCCAAAGTCTTTAATTACACGAATAGGCTCCATGGCATAGCTATCTGGGTTAAAACATTCCCCCAACACAAAATACAGAATTTACATACATTCGTTAAATTGGTACGAATTAGAACCAGGGGCTGGAGGCTCAGCGGTGCTTAGCTGACACAGTGTCCAGATTTGGCGTAGGAAAGCCGGGCAGAAAAGCGCTGGCTGCCCGGGGAGCTCCAGAACATCGCCATCGTGTGGCGGCTAGGTGTAACCGCGACCACCCAGTAACAGTCAATTAAGCTGCGGTTAACCGCAGCTACTGGGTGGTCAATTGTCGGCACAGGCTCGTTAAGCCGCGGTTAACCGCGGCTTCAGGGAGGTAAATGGAGGGCACACGCCAGCTTCTGGGTGGCCAATTAAAGGCGCCGGCCGACTTCCCACGGCTCTGGGGAGGCTGATAGAAGTCTGTTTGTTCGGTAGATAGAATCTACCGAACGGCTGTGCAGAAAGGAAGGAATAAATCTTTCTGCACAGTAAAATTAACCGTTTAACTGCAGGTCCATAATCCAAAGGCAGCAGGCGGGCAACCAGGCTCCTCCAATGCAATGTGGCGAGATTAGTCTCGTCACAATTACCATGGGGAGTTTTTTTTTTTTTTTTTTACCTGTACTTCTCCTCCACTTCCCTGACTGTACAGTTCAAGAGGATCAAAGGAGGATATTTTGAAAGATCCCGTTAAGAATAACAAAATACGGATATTTAGCAAAGGAAAAGGGGAAAGTGAAGAAGGGGGAAAAAAAAAAGTAAACTAAACGGACCCAAGACAACAAAAATAAACACTAAAAACGAAAAAAAAAAAAATTCTAAGCAAGAAAAGAAATTTGTCAACTTTTTTCCCCCCTCATGGAAATCAGGACACAAATGAAGAACTATCTCTAGACTCCTCTTTACAAACGGCACATAAATTCCCAGAGTCAAACTTTATAACCCAGGAATTGTTGAAAAGCCTACTGGACAATACCCTTAAAGAAATAATGACATTCAGGACAAATTTACAGATCTTAAGAGAAGGGCCGTCTATAATATGATAAGGACCCTGGGCAATGCATTTTCTTGGGCCCCATGGGCCCTGTCCCTGCCACTGCCTCACCCCCCAATTACGTCCAACCCGCAATCACACTGACAGACGTACTGGCACATACACACACAGACAGACATTAAAACATTCACAGATACATACTGACACACACAGTCACTACACACAAATATATACTGGCAGACATACTGACACACACACACAGACATACATACATACACAGACACATACATTAACAGATATACTGACACACACACATACACTGACAGATATACTAAAACACACAGACACATACACTGACACACATTGACACACACACACAGGCATACTGACATACACAGACAGACGTAATGGCTGATACAGACAGACATTAAACATTCACAGATATATACTGACACACACATACACTGACATACAAATATATCCTGACAGACATACTGACACACACATACACAGACATACTTACATACACACACAGACATACTGACATACAGACAGACGTACTGGCACATACACACAGACAGACAATAAAACATTCACAGATACATACTGACACACACATACACTGACACACAAATATATCCTGGCAGACATACTGACACACACACGTACACACACACACAGAGACATACCTACATACACACACACACAGACATACTGGCATACACACAGACATACTGAGACACACACACACACACACACACAGACATACTGACACACACACACACACACAGACATACTGGCATACACACAGACATACACACACACACAGACAGACCTACTGACATACATTTAGCCACCCTCCAGGTTCTTACCTTTTCCTGGAGGGTGGTTTCCCTGGTCCAGTGGCAGGCTGAGGCAGATGGGAGTTCTCCTCTTGAACTCCCCTCCTCCCTACCTTCCTCCTCCCGCGCGGCTATCTCCGTTGGGAGGAAGTGACGTCACTCCTCCCAGCCGGCTGCAGAACCGGAAGAGGGGCCACAGCGCCCGACCGGGCCCCTGCTGACACATGCTCCCCGGGTGGCCCTTAGTGCATGGGCCACCCGGGGAGCCTCCTCAGTGTGCGGGAGCCGCAAATCGCGGGGCCCACAGAGCAGCTGCTCTGGGCCCCCAGGAGCAACTGGGCCCGGGGCAACTGCCCCGTTTGCCCAGCGTTAAAGATGGCCCTGCTTAAGAGTGACATCTCGAAAGTTCTAACAAGAATCCAGATAATAGAAGAAAAAGAAGAAAATCTGGAATTCCAAATGCAGATTGTTAAAGAAACACACACCAAGATGGAGACAAAGATTGCTTCCCTAGAAGAAAAAAATATGTGACTTGGAAGATCGCTCCTGCCGAGCTAATTTAAGATTTAGATCACAGATTAAGATCACAGATTAAAAATTAAGAGACTTCATGGAAGAATTTTTTTATTATTTAAACATCTCAACTGACTCACATGACACAAAAATGGATCGCTGTCCTAGAATCCATAAACCATCGTCTATACAAAATGAATTCTCAAGAGACGTTATTGTTGCTGTAGCGGTACCCCCTAGTAGTAGAAGGGTTTCAAAGCCAGAGATGTCCTTTTCCCAAAGGTGAGAGGTGCCGTGAGAGAAGCAGGAACAGCTCTTACAAGAGCTAGTGATTCGTGATATAGCGGTTCCCTACAATAAGAAACAGAACTCAGTATTGAGGGTGAAGATATACTGAGGTTTAATGGAGGCACACTGCCTTTTATGCAGGTTTCCCAACAAAGGTGACACCCAGTTGGACCTTGTTGGGCACAGAGACACAAAGTGTACAAACCAATGAAAACAAGGTGACAAAGAATGACACTCCCACATAGAGTACACAATCCCTCCCCTCTGCCTGTGATATAATTAAGGCAGATAATGCCTCAACCTAATTATCCACAGGCAGAAAAAAAAAGTAATTTTTACAAAGTCCAATACGTACCCCAAAATACAACACATCCCCTGAAAGCCCTGATCTGGGGAACAACATACTTAAAAATCACCCAGATCGGTTTAGGAGTTCAAAAGTTAGTTGGAGGTCTATTTTTTTTTTGACTGACCGCATGCATGGCTTCATGCTTAAAACAGTCCCAGAGAATTAGGCCGGTCTATTTTAGCAGTCAAAGTAATGTCCCCATTTTCAATGTAGCCGTTCGTGCACAGTCAGTGAGTGTACCTGGTTCGTTAGATTAAATTTACTGAACGGCGCTCCGTTCGTGCAATTCCAGTTGAACCTAACTGGAGGTGGAAGTCCCATCGGTGTTCGTGCCATCAAGTGTCCAATTTTAGTTCCATGCGCTCAATGACGCGTTCGACTAAACAAGATGGCCACCGCCACGTATTCAACTATACGAACGGTGACCACCCAGGTTTAGGAGGGGGGGGCGGGGCCGGACCGCCGAGCTGGACTGTCGCAGGCAAGAGGAGCTCCTGCACCACATAACTAAAGCTGATCACAAACCAAATCTTTTAATGGAAAAAGACCGACGGCAACAGCGCCCAAAGCAGAAGGACTGCTGGAACCAGGGAGAGGCTGGCTCTCCGGGCTTTAGTTCCCTGGCGGAGAAACTTTTGGTGCTCCAATAAAGGCCTTCTCCGGCGGTGAATGGGGCAGACAGCCACTGCCCCACTATCCTGCAATACAGCATCCAGCCTAGAGCACAAACCCGAGAGGACTCGTCCCTGTTTCCCCCCCCCCCCCTTATGGACCGGGGGGTGATCCTGGTCCTCACCCGACAGGCCTGATCAAGATACGAAATCGGGGGGCCCAACCGCTGCACCCAAAATGGCGGCCGCCATGTGCGCAAGAGAGAAGAGGAGGATCAGCACCTTCCCTGTGCCAACGGCTGACACCGCGGCTCAAGCCTCCAGACACTGCCACGCAAGGGATCAAGATGACAGCGGCTGCACAGGGGGAACGGAACTACCCCGCGCCACGACCACAGCAGACCGCAATTACCGAGCAGGGCACCAAGCAGGGTGCCCCAGCACGAAGCTGGACATACCACTCCCCTTTTGTCCAGCCTGCTACCAAGCGACCACACGCAGTCAACACTAAGCCTCCCACCACGGCTGACCCAGGCCCTCGGAGGACCAAGCACACCACAAAGCAGCTGCAGCCCCTGGGACGCCAGCGTGCAACCCACAGAGCAGCAGGGCTGGACAGCGGTCAGATGCCTGCTCCCCCACTACATAGAACGAGCAGAACTGGTATCGTTCGGCAGTGGGACTCCCCCCTACGAGAACAGTCTCAGAACCACCAAGATGGTGGCTCCCCGCAGGGACAGAATGGATAGCCCAGATTGGCATGGGTGATAACAGCGACAACCGTATTACAGCGACTGATAATATTAAAGAGACTGATAGTACTAAAGCGACAAATGTTAGTATTAAAGCGACTGATGAGAGCACTAAAGCGACTGACAATAGTATTAAAGCGACCAATAATAGTCTGAAAGCGACTAACAGAAATCTAGCATGAACACCATTTACAATGCATATACACTAACATGTCTATACAGCTAGGGCCTCCATCAGGGGGTGACAACCATAACGGAATTGCCGCCGATACACTTGCACCGGGGCCCGCACGCTGATGGGGCCCGGTCAGTGCTGTGGCTGTGGTATAGCCCAACCGGACCCCTTTTTAAAAAAAAAAAAAAAAAAAAACGCAGCCGCAGCAAGTGCTGCTGGGAGGAAGTGGTCACTTTCTTTACGATTATCAGAACCAGTATGTTTCCCTCCCTGTGGGTATCATAAACAGGTACTTTGAAGTTGGTGAGGTTTCGAACTCCAACATGTAGCTGTAGCAAGACTTTGCTACGGCTTAACTATGTGATGTTTTCTTGTTTAATGTGTTTAGTTTTCTATGTTTAATGTTGTTTAACATGTCTTGGCTAATTTTGATGAAGGAAATCTACTTTAAAAAGGATGGAAAAAGGAAAGGCAAGGGGGGGAGAGATAGATGGAAAAAAGAGATAAGTTATCAAACTAATCGCAGTGAATGTACAGGGGCTTAACTCCCCAAATAAAAGAGGTCTCCTGTGTAATACTCTCCTGAGGGAAGGAGCTCAGATCTGTTTAACACAGAAGTCCCATTGGGAAAAAAGACGATAGACTATACTAGAATTTAAAAAAGTTCCCCCTGGTGGGAAGTGCTTCAGTGGCTCAAAAAAGGACCCAGGAGTAGCGATTATGTTTTCTAGAATAATTAAATATCAATGTGAATACCTTGAAAGTGGTACTGAAGGTAAATTCATAATATGGATTGGTACAATTAACGAGGTACAATATACCAGCTACCGTAAATATACCAGCTACAGTAAATTTATACCTACCGAACATAGCCTCAGTTAAATGTCTCTCCAAAATAATGAACAAAGTAGACTCAATTCGAAATCTTACTTATAGCAGGAGACTTTAACTGTGTGGCTGATCCAATATTGGATAAAGATCTGAACCTGGGCCACCAGGCAGACAAGAATTTGGTTAAATAATCATCCGATTTGTTTAGAATTAGCAAAAAATATGAAATCTTCAATATTTGGAGATTACGCCATCCTAAGGAACGTGAGATAATACCTGGTCTGACCATGATATCCTTATTATGGAAATAAACTAAACACAAAAAAACAACCTTACCCATGGAGACTGAATGAATTTCTATTGAATTCTAAAGAAAATAGAAACTATATAAATACAACTTAGGGACAATTTTTTGCTGAAAATCTGCCAGAAGATACCTCTAACACAAATCTTTGGTGCACCTATAAAGTTATTAGAGGCCATTTGATAAAACTAACCAGCTAAGAAAAAAAAGCCTGAGGCACGAGCCTAACAGATCTCTACTTAAAGTTGTATAACCTATCAGCACAAAATAAAAGGAATTTTACCCAGGAGAATATCAACTTAATTAAAGACTATAAAAAATAAGATTAACCAAAAGATTATGGAAAGAATAGAGTTTAATTTGAAAAAACTCAAAATAAAGTATTATTATAGAAACCACAAAGTAGACAAGGTTTTAACAAGCAGACTAAAAAAAAATTAAGTAGATAAAAAGATATATAAAATTATGGACGAAGACAATATCTTACTAACCCCTGAAAGTATTGGACACTCCTTTAAGAAATACTATAAAAAAAATAGTACAACATAGCATCTAACCCTACGGAAGTAGACACAGACAATTCTCTAAATAAGATAGAATTCCCGAAAATCTCTTCAGTTCAAAAACTTATATAAACCAAGAAGTAAAAGACATCCATAAACTTCAAACCATAAAAACTCCTGTCCCTGATGACTTCTCAAATCCATTCTATAAGATCTTTAAGAACATTATTTCATCAAAATTAACTGCTACTTTTAACGAGATAGCTACAAAAGGAAATGCAACAAAGGAACTACTAAGAGTCAACATTAAACCCATCTTAAAACAGTATAAACCCCCAACAGATATCACCAATTATAGACCAATCTCAGTGATCAACATAGACTTGAAAATCTATGCTTCTGTACTAGCACAACAAATAGGGCCACTTTTACCATAACTGATCCACAAAGACCAGATTGGCTTTATCCAAGGTAGACAGTTTAGTGACAACCCCCCCAATCACTGTCACCCACACACACACACTGTCACTTTCCTATACACACACTTTCAGCCCCTACACACATTGTCACCTCTTACACACACACACACACACACACTGTCACCCCCTACACACAACACATTGTCACCGGTTACACACAAACATTTAATTTTAGTTGTATAATTTAGTAGTGGAAGTTAATAGTGCCCCCCGCCCAGTTTTGACTGTGGTATCTTTCGTGACTCCCCTATATATTATTTCTAGAGTGGCCCCTACTCATCCCTCACTTACCTGATAAGCAGTCTGTATGCAGGCTGGAAGATTCTGGCTGAAGTTTTTTCTGTGCTGCTCCCCTGTGGATTGAATCAGCAG